CTGAAGGCTAGCTCTCGCTTCAGTTTTTAAACAATAAGACCGAATTGAAGATTTTAGTCTGTCACCCTAAAGGTTCTCCAATTCTACACCCAACAAAGAATATTTCCTTATTTATTTGCACTTAATTCCATGAACAATGTTCTCCTCCATGGAATCAAATGTGATCCTCACTCTGTCGTAGAACTCATACTCCATTTCTTGGATCATAAGTTTCACAAGACATTTTAACAATTCAATTGGCCAGATCAAAAAGTAAATTAAGTTCGGAGTTAAAAAATCATCATAATTTATTTTACGTTTTAATATTAGCACATCCATATTATCTCTTCATTTCACCATATCTCAGAGTAGGGAGAAAGATAGAGAGAACTACTCATACTTCATGAGAAAGAAATAACAAAACACAAATTTTATGTATAAAAGAAAGTTCATACAACACTGATAAACAAACAATACTTATCTAAAAACTCTTTCTCAAAGCAAATCCTTTGAAGCCTTTCCTTAGAAATGCAGGAAGAAGATATCTCTCACTTTTTTTCCTTTTCCAACACTCTTACAGAAAGTTTCACACTAAACCTCACCACAAAAACTCTAAAATATGAAAGGAAAATAAAAAATTGACTCTAATATGATAGTGGAATGGAATGATGTGGTGCGAAAAATGAACGTAGAGGAGCACTTTTTCTGATGAAATTCAGCCCCAAATAGAGCCCAAGGTCGGTTCTCCAAGAGGTGCCTTGACCAAAAGAACATATGTTGAGATTTTTATACCTATTTTACACTGATTTTGTTGATATTGCACTTTAAGGAAAAGTATTGTTGATGTTTTGTTGCAGGAATGATGAATTATGGTCATTGGAGCAAAAAGATGCAAAAGTAGCGAATTTGGAGCGAAAAGGACCAAAATATGAAGACTTGAACTAGGGCGCCGCGGCGAGCTTAATGGCGCCGACGGTGAGATTTTCCCAAGACTCAGATTGAATATTTTAAAGAGGTTGCCGACGGTGCCCTAGAGGTCGCCGACGGCGAGATCGACGGTTATGCTTACTCAAGCTTTGGATATAACCAAATTTTGAAGAGGTGCTTAGGCAACTCTTGGGAAAGCTCATACACAACTTTAAAAGAACATTTTGGCCGAAAATTAAAAAAGTCCTGGAGGTCCTGGAGGTTAGGAAAGTCCTGGAGGTCCTGGAGATTAGAGAGGTCCTGAAGGCTAGAGAAATTTCCATTAGTATATAGAATTTTCAATAGTGAGTAACAATTGTGAGAAATTCTTCAAGAGATTGTAAGAGTGGAGGGAAAGTGAGAGATTTCTTCCTCCTTGCTACTTCAAAGATGAATTATGTGTGCTGTAAAGAAAAAAAGAAATTCAGAGGAACTTCGAGGAGTGTTCTTGGGGAGAAATTAGAGATAAGTTATTTACTTATTGTAGTTCGTATGACGTTGATTTTATATATGAATTCCGAGTTTTGTTGTGTTTTTCCCATGAGATCTGAGTAGTTTTCTCTGTCTTTTTCCTTGTCTTGAGATTTTTGAAATGGTGAATTTAATTAGTGAAGCCATAAAAATGTTTAAGAATTTGTGATAATCTTTTCACTTCGATCTTAATTTACTTTCAATCTGACCAATTGATTTGTTAAAATATGTTGAGGTTTACAACTAAGGTGAAGATTACATCTAAGATTCAGGGAGGTCAAAGCCCTTGGAAGTTGGGTGCAAATAAATAGGGAAATAATATTTTCGGGCGTAGAATTGGAGATTTTAGGGTGACAGACTAAAATCTCCAATTCGGTTCTATCGTTTGGGTGCTGAAGGTTAGCCCTCGGGGAACGTGGGAGCTCCGAAGTGAAAGCCGGTATCCTCCCAGCCTAGCCGCAGATTCAGTAAACAAGCGTAAGATTAGTCAATGTTCTTTATATCTGGACCAAAGGGTCAAGAATAGGTATGCTCCTATTTGACACAACATAAATTGAACTAATTCACTTTATCCATTCACTATAACTTAGAAATTTAGTGAATGGATCAAAACTAGGCTTGACTTAGGTGGTTAGGTGATACTGTAGAGCGTGGTGAGTCTAATAGGTAATGGCCTCTTCTTGGCTTGGATTTAACATGGGTTGGTTGAATTGGATTAGTTTTTGGGTTTAGCCATGGTTTAGTTTAGGTTTGATTTGGTTTTGATGTAATTTAAGTTTTAGCTTAGTTTAGTTAAGTTTAAGTGTAGCTCAGGTAATGTTTTAATTTTATTTAAACTGGACTTAGTATCATAAAGCAGGCCCAAATAGGCTATTGGTGATCGTTATGTTGATTTCTTAGCTGAAAAGCCGCAGCAGCTAACCATGTGCGTCAGATGCATGCAGTCAATGATGGTTGTTAGTTATCATAATTTAGTTTTGTTTGTATGCCTTGAATATTTTGTTAACGTTGTTTTCTACTCATGCATTCCAACTTGCGGGTTACTTTTAGGTTTCCATTTAAAAGAGCACTCATGTATGGTTAGAATGGGATAAATTAAGATTTACATTCATACCACTCAATTCCTATGTATTTACATTCTAACACCAAAACTTTAACTTTTACATATGTGCTACCTTACTTTTACATGAAAAGATGTATTTCACTTTTTAAAATGGCTGTTTTTTTTACGTGATACGTAAGATTTGATTTTTATAAATGTAAAAAGTAAAGGTTAGGAGTTAGATATGTAAATACATAGGAATTGGTTGGCATATATGTAAACAACCCAAAAAATAGAACATTTTCTAGCTTCTTATTATCTTCTCCTTTTTAAGCTGTTTTGAAATTTAACAAATGACTGATTGTTTGATAAATTTGTATCTTAAGCTAAGCATTGGGAGACAATGGAAGGAACTCTTAGACTGTAATGATCAAATTGGTTTCATTTCTCATGTAAGTTCTTTGCATTCTGAATCATTGTGCGCTACCTAAACTGGAAGTTTGATAACATGATATTATTCTGTGATTTCAGGATGATGCAAAAAGGCTTGAGAGAGCTGCCAAAAACAAGTACACCGTGTGACTTTTTTACTCATTAGGTATGGATTTATAATAAGCAGCGTACATGATGGGTAGGAGGAACTCTTCCTTTTGAGTTCTCTTGTTCCTGCATCTATTCATTTTTTATGATAGTTTATTAGATATAGGGAAGAAGATGTTTGCCAAAGACGTCTCTAAGGAAAGCAATGCAATGACAGGGCATGCTGGATCATTTGAAAAATTGACTATTTGTTTCAAATTTGATTGTTGCAAATAGAAAATAGTTTTGGAATGCATGCGCTTATTTCTTTTGATATATCAAAATTGAGTTAAAATTAATTAGGCCAATTTGATTTTTTTTGGGCGTGTAATTGTCTCTGTGGAGTTTTGTTGTTGCTATCCCATTAATGATTTCTTATATTTTGGTTATTGTTGTAGTTAAACTTTGGGTTTTTTTTTTTAGTTAAGAATGTAGGTGTTTGAATATGGGTTGTTGGGTCTATTATTAACTACATTCATTAACTCCACAAATATAATGTTAAAAAAATATATTTAGTTATTTATATCATTTGAATGATTGCAGGTTTGAATTCAAAGTTATTGACTTGAAAAATATGGTTATGTATACATGACATATTTCATCCACCATAGTGTTGGGGTTATGTATACATTGATATATTTCATCCACCATAGAGTTGCTAAAATGGGGTCTAAATTAAATATTGTCATACCGTGGGTTTGTTATTTTTTAAAATCTTTTTCATTTTTTGTGAAATTTTAAATCAAACTGCCCGTAGGAATTAGGGCTATCAAAAACGGCTTGTTGTTCGCCAACAGCTCGTGTTTGGCTCGTTCACTAAGTTAAATAGTCGAACGAGTCGAACACGAACAAAGATTTGTTAGTTTGTGTTTGGCTCATTTTTGCTTGAAATACTACTCATCAATTATATATATATATACATATTTGATGAGTAGTTTTTTTAAAAATTTTAATTGACTGTAAGCCTGCAAAGATTTATAATCAATTAAAAGTACTAATTAAGAAAATAGAATAAGAATTATTAAATTAGATTCAAATAATATTTTAATATAAAAAATAATTTTTAAATCTTGTTATAACCTTTAATATCGTATGGTTACGTGATTAGGGTTGTCAAAACGATATTTTTGTTCGTGAATAGCTCGTGTTCAGCTTGTTAAACAAACGAACCAAAAATGAACATAAATTTTGAGCTCGAAATATAAACGAGCCGAACACGAGCTGAGTTGGGCTCGCTCGTGTTTGGCTCGTTTACACCCCTATGTGGGATTGCTTATTTGCATATGTGATTACAAGCTCTTAGTTATATTATTTTTATTTAACTAAGAAATTGTGTTTTAACCTATATGTTCCCCTAGTATTTTTTCTGATAGTCTCCTAGATTACCATTGATTTTAACATTTTAAGTTGGCTAAAAGGAAGTAAAATAATCATTGAACGTTAACACATTAATGTCATATATTTATTTTAAGAATTCCACATGATTGAAACAAGAACTTCATAATATCCATTCAAAGAAGCATGAAAACCTAGTTCCTAATCATTTGTGAAGAGAATAAAAGAGTTCATAGAAAATAAAATCAGGTTTTAAAAGATAAAATGAAAGAAAAAACTTGAATTGAAATTCCTCTCACTCCAAACCAATACTTCTTGCTCTCACACACTCGAAAGTTTAAACTCGTACTCTCACACACACTAAGGCTTTCAAGCCTTCCCCCTCCTCCCCGTTCTATTTCCATGCATTTTATATGAAAATTTTTTTTGAATAGCTCAGGAACTACAAAATTATCCTATGTCGGTGGAGAGAGTCGAAGCGATGGTGAAATAGTGTCGGGGCGCTATAATCGGGTGCGGCGGTGTTTGGTTCGAGTGCCACCTTTTGTGGAACTTGGACTTCGTATTGGGGCACTGGGCACTACAATATTGCTTCTACAGTCGCTGAGGCGCTTCTCTTTGGGTGCTGGAGTGCTGGTTTCTACTGTTGCAGTGTCGTGCTCACGGATTTTTGGCTGAAAAATTCATACGTAATTTGGGTACAGAGACGACATGTATATGGTGTGATAGTACTCTCCCTCTAAATAATCGGGGCGTTTCCTTCAGGTCGCTAGTCTCACTTTGCTTAATTTCCTCCAAATTTTAGATTTCACTCTATTTATTGCACATTTAAACAAAATATACCCAAGAAAAACATAAAACTAACACAAGTATAAGAAAAAGCACAATATCACATTACTCATAGCAATATTTCACACCTAAATTTTCATATTTAAATATATAATACTTTGATACCATAAATCTATGCATGAAAAGATGTATATCACGATGAACTCCTATTTTTAATGTGATATTAAAGATTTAAATGTTATGTTAAAGTTTAGCTGTGAGAAATGTATATAATAATTGTGTGTTATGTAACTGCCTCAAGGAGTTCATTAAAACAAGTATATTATGCATGGCAACTATTGAAAAAGTCGCTTTGTTCATAATGGTTTGGAGCTTTTGGGATGATTGGATGAAAGAGGGTGGTTGATTTGTAAATTACATGTTTCAGGTGGTCATTATTTAATAAATGGCCTTAACATGTTGAAAAGCAGATTTACATACATACCACTTATCTCCTATGTATTTACATATCTAACATCTAAACTTCAATTTTTACATGTTTTGCATCTTACCTATACTTGAGAATGCATATTTCACTTCTTTAAAATTAAAGTGATACTTGTTATTTGATATGAAAGATTTGAGTGGTATAAATGCAAAAGAAAAAAAAAAAGGTGTTAGATATATAAATACATAAGAATTAGATCCATGGGAATTGGGTGGTATATAAGTAGGGGTGTAAACGAGCCGAACACGAGCGCGAGCTCAAAAAGTATGTTCGTGTTCGACTCGTTTGCTTAACGAGTCGAACACGAGCTGTTCACGAACAAAGAGTCCTTTTAACAACCCTAATCATGTAGCTATAAGACAATAAGGGTTTGAGCAAGATTTAAAAATTATTATTTATATTAAAACATCATTTGAATCTAATTTAATAATTTTATTTTATTTTCTTAATCAATATTTTAATTGGTTATAAATCTTTGTAACCTTGTAGTCAATCAGATTTTTTTAAAATATTACTTTATTCGTGTTCGGCTTGTTAACTTATCGAACGAAATTAACGAGCCGAACACGAGCTGTTTATTGATTAGTAGTAATTCGAATCAAAACGAGCCGAACATGAACGTGTTATTCGCTCGTTAACTTAACGAACGAGCAATGAGACGTATTGACAGCCCTATATACAAGTAAATGCCCCAATTGTACGTTTGACAGCCTTATATTTTAAAAATTATTCGTTAAATCATTGCAATTGTAACTGCAAGGGAATGTATAATTTCCACCAATTTTATATGCAATTAATGCTCGTCAAAAAAAAGGACAAACTTTCTGTTAGCAATTCCTTAGTTTTTCAGTGGAAAATTCCTTGAGTGATGCATGAATCCTTTTCTCTGTCAAATTTTTCACTTTAGTACTAATCAAATCTTTATTTACACTAATTTTTTTTCCTCAAAAAATAAATAAAAAAGGAATTTTTCTTTTTGTAATACATGAAATTTGAGCCATTACTAGCTAGCAAAATTTCATGAAGAAATTCCTTAGCAGGATTAGTCTCCAACAGTTCAGGAGATATCTCAATATTTATCAAAATAAAAATTGCATTTTTGTATCAAGAAAGAGATGTTACGTGTTGTTAGTTGTCTAATTTTTTGTCTAAGTATTATGTATATATCAAATGTTTTTTTTAGTTTATTTATATATATATATATATATATTATTTCACGTGAAGTGTAAAAAAAAAACAAAAAAAAAAAAAAAAAAAAAAAGAGTATGGAATTAAAAAAAAAGGAGGAAAAGGAAAGAGTAATATAAGAGAGCGTTGATGGCATGTGAAACTCATAAATATTAACCGCTGATATAATGCATGGATGGCAACGATGGAGCGACGCATGCACAGCTCTATAATTTCAACTCATTACCACTTCGTCTCCATTATTCAATTAATATACACACAGGCTCCACCTTTTTATTCACATGTCTTTCATCCACCATGAACTTCATCCATCCATCTCATACGTTAGAAGAAAACTATTCTCTCTCTGTCTCTTAGTTTCTGAAATCTTGACTTCTGCTTTTGAGTTCATTCAGATTGTTTATAGCCGGAAGGATTTGATATCTTCTGATGTCTTATGAGATCGATCAGAAAGAGGTGGAAGACAACTACTCGGTATAGCTCCACACACACATATATATATATATATATATATATAATATGTATATATGTTGTTCTCAGAGTTTAGGGTTTGTTTACTCTGGTCTTATGCTTTGTTTAAGCTCTTATTTTGTATTTCCGTGGAAAGCTGATATTTGTGCTATCTTAGGGTGCGTTTAAGGCAGTTTGTGCTTATCCATATAAGTTGTTTATCTGGAAAAGCGGACTGCAATGTTCGACACGCGTTTCGCGTTTAGTATAAAAAACTAACTGTGTTTTCGGATAAGTTGCTCAAACGCAGTTTCCAAACGGTAATGCGGCATTTTGAAAACATCACCACAGCTATTTCTGATATTAATCAATAAAGTAAACTGGAGTAGTTAAGGATCACCATGTCTATGAAAGTTCTGATTATATTACGTCAGAATACTGCAAGTTGAATTTTTTGTTGTTTTGAAATGATGAGTTAAATTTGTTGGATTCATTAATGTTGTTCAAAACTTAAATTTAATGAAATGAATTTATTATTGTAAGGATGTATATATTTACTATTGAGAATCAACTAAATCAGCCATTAGGCTTATTAAATGAAGTCGAGTAGGAGTGGGGATATATAGCACTTTGATTTTATCCATTTATTTTTAATTTTGTAGGCATGATAACAATTGTTGTTTTAATAAAAGGTAATTGAATGTAATTCAATTAATAAGCTAAAGCTGTTTCTTTTTCTTGTTTTATATATTGATTTGATGCTATAGAACACAACATATAACTCAATTAAGACTTAGAAAATAAACTAGAATAATTTCTCAATTTATCAAATATATAGGGCATTAGTTTCCTTTTTGAGAAACTTTCTATATTTTGTAAAATAGCATTTGTCTTGCAAGAAGTAATAGCTAATTATATAAATCTTTATTACATTATTATGTTATAAAATATAAGAAAATGTTTCATAACATAATAAATCAAAGTACTTTCATTTTTATTTTTGTAGATATAAAAAAGGTTGATGCCACAAGAAATTATTCTAAAAAATATTGAAAATTCATGTGCATGCCAATTAAATCACTTTGATTAATGAGACTAAAATCTAAATTTTAAAATAAACTAAAATCATAAAACAAAACTAATTGAGCTTTTATCAAAGGATTGAGATTTAGGGTCCCTTTGGGGCAGCTTATAAGTGCGGGCGCCATTTTCAAAACGTCGCCGTACTGTTTGGTTCGCGCGTTTCACCAGCTTATCCGAAACTGCGTTTGGGTTTTTACACTAAACGGGCCGACCCCGGCATTCGGCCTGGGGGCCGCGTTTCAGGATAAATATTTTATCCTGAAGCGCACAAGCTGCCCCAAACGGACCCTTAATGTTGATAGTCTTAATTTTTATAAAATTTGACTGTATTGATGTTACAATAATGTTACATTTTAACAACCCCTATAACTTTATATACTCTTGATCAAATGTTTTTTTCTCTGAGTACTAGCTAATTTATCAATTTTTCTTGTTTTTTGTCAGCAAAATATCTCTTATATAAGTCATTTGGGTTCACTTTTATTTTATCTTTAATTTTTTTCATTTTAACTATTTTAATTTATTTATGATTAGTTAAAAATTAAAATATATTTGACATGCTCAAATAAGATACCCCCATTTATAAACTCATCAAATATCTAAAAATATATTTTTGAATTTAATTAAAAAATACACTAAATACACATTTTAGTTTATACATTAAATACATTTAATTATATAACTCAATTTATCAAATAGATTAAATACACCCAAATTCTTATGAATTTATTTATCTCACACTCAAAAGTTTTATTTTTACACAAATAATACTTTTATCTATGAATGGAATGATGGATTTAACCATTAAAAGGCCATGATTGGTGCTATTCTTATATGTTTTTTGTAATTATAAAAGTTTTATTGTTGGATATGTAAATATATAAGTTTTTGGAAGTTCTCTGCATAAAAGTTCAATAAAATTAAAAAATAAATAAATAATTCATCCGAAACAGTAATTTTCTCAACCACATGATTCCCCATGGCAGGCATCTCAGCCCCCACCATTCGGATCACTGGACCCCACAGAACAGAACCCCGCCGGCAGCGGCGGCGGAGGCATCGAAATGGTGGACTACATGCTGAACACTTCCCCAGCTCCTCCGCCGCCGCACCTTAGCTTCGCCGAAGTAATGCAATTCGCCGACTATCGGCCAAAACTCCTCCAAGCGCCGCCCCCGCAGCCCCAAATCTCCGGCGACGTCGTCGATGTAGACACCTGCTTCTTCAAGTTTCCATCTTTGCCTTCTCCATCTCCTCTGCCGTACGATGAAATCGATGGCGGCGAAGATCAGGATCTGGAGGAGGAGGAGGCTCACCGGCTTTCTAATCAGAATGCGGCGGGGACGGCGGCGATGGCAGCGGCGGCGGGGGGCCGTTTTTTTGTTCCGAGGTGGCGGAGAACAGGGGAAGAGTGGTAGTAGGAAGAAGAGAGGAAGGTCGATGAAGACTAGCGAAGAAGTGGAGAGCCAGAGGATGACACATATTGCTGTTGAGAGGAATAGGAGGCGGCAGATGAACGAGCATTTGCGCGTTCTCCGGGCCCTCATGCCTAGTTCTTATGTCCAGAGGGTACGTAGAAGCTAACTTAAATTAATTATATTTTCTCTTTAATGCACAATTCTCAGTGAGTGCATACGGCTTCGAATAATCTTTCAATAACTCAATTATTTATTGTCATCGAGAGGTTATTGGGGATATTAACCTCAATAACATCTTAATAATCTACCAATATATTTCGTGGCGCTCATTTTTTTCTTGTCATTCGAGAGTTTTGTGAGGTTATTAGAAGTATTAACCCTAATAACAATGATATAATGCTCTAATATCCTCCGAATAACAATCATACGCATGTAATTCTGCGTGCGTATGATGTACCTAAATATTTTCCCAGATGAATCGGGGCATGCATATAAAAAGTGAAGTTTAGGATTTAGATATGTAAATACATAAAAATTGTGGGGGATGCATGTAATATTTACTTGGTACTTATTCAAAGTATTTATCTTCAATTTATATAATTGAATATCTATCATTTTCTGAATAATGAATACGTCGTATTAGATTTGTTCCTTCACCTCCACCACAAATGCAGGGAGACCAAGCTTCCATTATCGGCGGCGCAATAGAATTTGTGAGGGAGTTAGAGCAACTCCTCCAGTGTTTGGAATCTCAGAAGCGCCGCCGCCTCTATGGGGCAGGCGCCGTCGAAGCCTCCCTACCACTTCCCATGCCGCCGCCGCCACCACCGCCGCTTCCCCTGCCGCCCTTCTTCCCACAGCTCCCTCTGGCAAGGCATCGATGCAGCCGACGACGATGGGGTCATCGGGCTCCATGAAGAGATGGCTGAGAGCAAGACGCCGTTGGCCGACATCGAAGTGAGGCTGCTGGGCCTGGACGCCATGATCAAAATTCTCTCACGGCGGAGGCCCGGCCAGCTTCTCAAGACCATAGCTGCTTTGGAGGACATGCAGCTCAGCATTCTTCATACTAATATTACAACAATTGAGCAGACTGTTCTATATTCCTTCAATGTCAAGGTAATTGTTTTTATTTTTATCGCGTTATTATTATGTAATTTAGATATAAAGTTTTATCTGTGAAGGTTTGAATTAATGGTTTTATATCATAAGGCAGTGTAAAGCTACTCTTCCAACTAAGGCCTCATGTGGGTAAATATTTGCGTACATAAGACGTACGCAGCGCTGTGTGGTGTTATTCAAGGGTTTAAGGGAGGTTATATTCGGGTTATACCCCCCTGTAACCCCCGTGTAACTCTCTTGTAACCTTAATGTAACTTATTTGTACCTATGAAACTATAGAAGCGCGAAACTCATTTGTAATTTACAAGTAGTTTACAAAGAGGTTACATGAGGGTTATAGAGGGGTGTAACCCCGATATAACCCCCTGTACCCCCTGAATAACCCCCAGAGATACGCAGCGCTGCATACATCTTATGTACACAATTATTTTCCCTCATGTGGTTGATTATTTTATGAATTTTTTTGCGTGTATTTATTGCAGGAAGGAAAAGATATGGGGGCGATGTATTGATTTAGGATTTACATATACATACCACACAATTCTTATGTATTCAAATTTTCAATTCCTGAAAATTGATATTTATATGCATAGCATTCAAACATTTATCTTCAAATTAAAAAAGAGATTTACAAATTTGCATGCATAAATTTTGATGTAATTATAACACTAGTTTTGTAATATATATATATATATATATATATATATATATATATATATCAAATTTTAGTGTTATATATGTGAATACACAAGTATTATGTAGTAAATATGTAAATTTTCAATTGAACAGTTTTTTTGGTCAATGAGTTTTAAATTGATTGCATTTATTTTGATATCAATGCTATATAAATCATGGTTATTTAAAAATTATACCTGAAAATTTATAATAACTTTGAGGCTTATTATTACCAAAATTTAATTAGGATATTCTAATCTAATTTATTTCATTTATATATCATTTTTGTTACATAAAATACTTTTTTTTAATAATTTGAAGCTTCATGTTTTACAGATCACAGCAGAGACGAATTCAAGTGCACAGGAGATCGCCAACTCAGTTCAGCAAATACTTGGCTTCATAGACGGCAGCAGAGACCAATACTGATACCCATCCCCAATACCAGCATACCTTCCCATTTTAGACAAAATTTCAATATTTTACAAAATATATTATGTTAAATAAATGATGGTGGTATAAATTTAAAGGAACATAAATACAACTATTGTGAGAATCAGCACTATCTCTTCTTTCAGCATATATAGTCTTTGGTGATGCTACCATTTATGATTGACAACTGTTCACATCTTATACATGAATAAAGAAGCATATAAATGTATGAATATACAATTATGCATATATAGATTAAGGTAACTGCTTACAGACTTAATTAAAAAGAGTACTGATATGAGTACTTACCTGTTGTTTCCATAGGAATTAGCTTACATAAGTATAAAAACATGACGATCCAGAAGTATATTGCTGCACCGGCAGCAAAAGCATTATACATTTTTGTACAGAAGATTACTACATTTAATATTTCAATTGAGAGAACCTCGATGAGCTGCCTTGGAAACGGTGACGGTAGACACCTCGGACTCGACGCCGCAGATGTTACGACCCTTGCAAACCTTGTAGTAGCCATTTTCGCCCCAGTTCTCGCCCCAAGAGTTCTTTATGATCCAGTATGGCTTATTCTTCAAGCGAATCGGAGCATAGCCAGCAGAGCCATAGCCCACCAGAAGCACACCATGATCCTGATTCCTACTGCATAAGTAGGGGCAAGAGACTCCGCTGATGTAGAACTGCATGTATAGCGCATTGATAGCCACTGCATGGATGATAATATCAGAAGTATATGGCGAGTACTCTCATGGCAATGAAAAACACAGGAAGCTAGAGTTTCACTACAAGTTTATATTTGATCATGTTTGATGGGGCTTTTCAATCCTCTTCCATATTTGAATATGAAAGTAAATCTTGCAAAACTTATTTTTTAATCTCGTGCGTCTTAAAGCGAGATGTTAAAAGAGGCATGACTAGATCATTTGGGAGGCAAGAAATCATGGGATAAATTGCCCTAATAGCAAGGGCAGACCTTGGGGGTGGGCGCTCAAATTTAAATTTTTATATATATTAGAGGACAATTTGGTTTTTATCCCTCCTGAAATATTATTTTTTCCCCTCATGAAATATTAGTTTTTTTTTTTGTTGCCCTAACCCCTCCCACACTAGGTCTAGAAGAATAGTCTCCCCTCTCAAAAAGAGACCGGTTTCACCCTGACTAACAGTGTATGCAAATAATTGAGGAAAAGAGGGAATTAATTCAGGCATAAATTAAAAAAAGGTAAGATCTTTTAACAGCACTCATTCTCTCTACTTCTAGCTCCACTAATGGAGAAACTACACCACCAGACAAATTTCCCCAAAAGGCACACCTGGGATCCCATTATAGCATATAGGGATTCTCGTCATTCAATGAATGCTACACTATGGAAAATGAAGAATGTACTCTCATAAATCAGTTGATAAAATGCAGGTCAAAGAACTTCAAGCGCAATATTAAATGTTAAAGATGTAGAGGATAAGTTTGAGGGAATGCAAGGAAAAAACAAAAGAAAACAATAAAATGAAGAATAAAAGATGATGGAGAAAAAAAAGATTGCATTGAAGCTTAGTTTATCCCTCGTCTATAAATGGCACATTTTTTAAGTTTAACCACACATATTTATAATTAAATACAAATAAAAATAAAAAAACCATTATTATTTAAAATAAAGTAAAATTTTCAAACTTTGAATGCATTGGAACTTAAGAAAATCAAAGTATTTCTAAGCCTAATATAACCTTAAAAGGAATTACTCATATTTCGTGAAGGGCATGATGTTTTTAATTATACTATTTATAAGTTCTGTGCATGACTTCATCCTCGTTATAAATTTAACTTCCGTGGAAGCAAATAAATTTTTTTTTTATTGAAGGGAATGGCTTCTAATGTTCACAATCCTTCATGCAATCAAGAACTTTCCGGTTAAATGCGGTACGTAGAGTCGACAACTCGAATTAACTCGTGCATATTTTATAAACAAATACAATGCATTCTAGAGCTCGGAGTTGTATAATTGGCAGTAAAATAAAAAATATATATATTCTTCTATTTGGTTCGGTGTAAAATGCTAACTATGGTGATCGACTAAAATGCAGCATGTACAATTACCTCCTCCTTGAGAGATGATTTCAAGCATGATGCTATACTTTGTATGCTAGAACAAGCAAAAAGAGAATTAAGGATCATGAGATAAGGAATAAATATTTTCATATGATTTCATAGCCTTGAAATCATTTTGATGCTTAGCTTTTAAAAAAATACTAAAATTAAAAAAAAAGAATGAAGCACTGTTTTGGTGACCCAGCAAATGTAGCAAAGTTGTCGATATCTAGGCTATAGGCAAGTAAGAAGAAGAATCAATGAAATGAGGATGAAAAAATAGGAGGAATAACAAATAAAAAAGGTGCAAAGATTGGATGAATGGTCTACTATCTCCTCTGCTAGTCATGGATAGAATATTTAAGCTCATGAGGACACTCAACTTATAGTAATGGGTGGCACCAAGGCACGAGATTGGGAGAATAACATGACATTCTAATTTTGTCCAGATCAAACGATTTTTTAAAGTTTTAAAGATAGTACCTTGACTTATTTTTCTTCAACATTTTGCTTTGTATTTAGTTAGATTTAAATTAAAAAATAAAATGTATCGAATGGATACATATGAAATACAATACATATATTTAGTTGCAACCAAATAGCCCATAATGATATAAAATAACTCTTTAAGTTTAGTCTAGTGACTGGCCGATTAGGATTGGTACAATTTTCCTTAAAGTCAAATGTTGACTCATTTGTGATAAACTCTAGATTAAATCAAATCTAAATTAAATTCACTTCAAAGAACAACTTAATCATAGGATTTGACCTTGAGTTAATTCTATTAAGCTGGCTTGACATTATTGAGGCTCTCAGCATACCATGGCAAATAAATAATAGCTTACAATTCAATTGAACTTGGGGTTAGGAAGTTCATACACTGACTAGGCCAAATTGTGAGCTAATTGAGATCAAACTAAACCATCTTGCTTCCATAAAGATCATGATATGATTCCATAACTTATGCCAATCAAGAAGCCTGATATGAGCAAAATGGGAATCACAAGCTAAGGTGTCAATATTCTTAGAGATTTTTGAATGTCAACAATAGTGTTTCGTTAAAGCCTTACATAAGTCCCTAGTGTGACGGGGTGTTCAGTCGTATCATGCACTTCCAACGTTTTCTTGATAAATATCATGAAGCACTAGTGCAAACTTTATGCTCAATATGATGAAGGACATTATATAGTCTAGAGTCAACCTGAAGCACCCTGAATATTCTAACTTGGGAGAAATTAACAGGTCCAAACACCAAATGTAACAGTGTTGCGGACATTGGAGTACACAGCTAGTACACAGAAGTGTACTCTGATAAATCTGAAAACACACCTACATCACTGTTTTGTCAACAATGTGTATTCTCAGCTCAACAAAAAAAATCAAGGTACAAGGCAGTGTACTCCGATATATGTACACAGTTGTACGAGCAGTATTTGGACTTAATAATTTCTCCTAATTAAGGGACCAAAAAATAACACTTCAGAAAAATTTACTAAAGAATCTCCAAAATGAAAGCAAGGAAGTCTTTGATTTGACTTGTCACTTTTCTTGAGGAAAAACAAACTAATTTCCTCTGACAATTCTGTCGATTGCAAACTCGTTTCATACGTTTACCAAAAGTCTCATCTTCAAGCCTTTACTTATTTCTAGTTTTGCTTTCTAACCTCCAGTTGCACCTTCCATTCTAAGGGCACAGGGCACATTGAATTCAGAAGCTGCTCTGTAATTCCATGGATGACTGAAATCTCTAAAACTCGGCTAGAAATAATTAAACTTACATGAAAATAGCAAACTCTCCACCATAAGAATTGATAAGGGAGTTTGAACCAATAATTGAACAGCTAGTTTATAGTCTACCAAAGCTGGAGATGTAGAACCAGATCAGTTGAGAAGAACAATGGCCTATCCTGCTTAATTGGTGAATCAATAACCCGGGAATATAGGGAGAGAAATACAAAAAGATAGTTCTATCTGCTCTTAGCTCTGATTGAATAGAGATTGAATCACATAGTTGATGTCGCCAATCGCATTCCTAAGATCCCATGATTCCTATTTACAGACTTCGAAGGGCCACTATGCTAACAACATTGTTAACTAGGTCGCATGCAAGTACATCCTTATTTGTTTCCCAATAATGACTACAACATAACAGTGTCGGATCACGTTAACCTTTTCAAGCAAATCAGTTTGAATTTACGTTATTAAATTGGCTGTCAAATCAGCTAGAATAGCTTTAAACCAGGTTTTACAGGGTTTTGACCTCATTTTTGTGAGGTCTTTTCTGCTCCTCCTTAGAGCCGCACTAGTGCAAAGATCAAACGAATATTTAAAAAACAGACTAATATAAAAATTGTGGTGCCTTTATTATTGGATATAAAATGTAAAACAATAGTGATGACTTGATGACTAATGTATAAAGCAAAATGTTTGTTTTCTACATAATTTGTATGAACAGTAACGACATTTAAGGACTACCTATAATTAAGAAGAATGCCTTGTAGGCATAACATCAGAGTTTTAATTATTAAAGTATAGAATAATTCATGCTATCTAATTAATTGCGTGAACAATAAAAGTGATCAGTATAGGATTTCAAAAAAGAATTACGACTGAATGGTGTTATCTGGAAACTATTCATCAATGTGTAATAAGAAAGTTAATATAGACCAACCTGCAAGAGGGCCATGCTTCACAAGGTTGGCAGAAATTTGAGCTTCATCGACCGAGACAACACTGTAGTTAGCAACAGAAGCAGCAATCTTCTCCTCCCTAAATTTGCAGCCACCTCCGTCAGTTCCTGTATATGGGTAGTCTTTCTCTGTCTCAAGCCCACCTGAATTGAGCACATACTCAAAAGCAGTTGTCATCAACCCACCATTGCATCCGGAATCACATGCACCAGGCTCAGACGCATCACACTGTTAAGATCAAGGAAAAGAAAATCGTGAGGATGAAATACTGTGGTTTACAATAAGTTTTCACTAGATCTTCAATAGAATTATAATAAATTTTAGCAATCATAAACATTCATAAAGTTTTTGGATCCACTGAAATATTTCAATCCCATAATTATGTAAATCAATCCATAAACCATGCAAAAAAACTTAATTAAGTTAAATTATAAGAATTTTGGTGTTGTCTCTGACTATCGTTCAAAAAACAAATAAATGATAACTTCCCTGCTAGAAATGACTTCTGCCAAGAAGCTATTTCTTCACAGGAACTCCCATCTCAAGAAAGTAAACGATTCAAAACAATAAAAAATAGAAAACATGACTGATCTAGTAAGAAAAGTTCAAAACAGGATTAGTTCAGCGTTGAAGTCACAAATTAGCTAAATTTCCTTGAGGCGAGTAGTGTTCGAAAATAAAAATGCCTTAGAGCCACCAAAATTTTTTTATAAATGGTCATTATCCTAAGAACTATTTTATTCTTTATCAAGGCATTCAAAATATTCACTCAAATGCCAAGTGTGACAAAGGATAAATTAAGTACAAATGGAAATTAATGACTCCTCTTATAATGATGTGTCATGTCTCAAGGTTGACATTGATTTTGCTATAGCTCTCAATTTGATTTCCTACTCCCTAGATATTATTGTGGAGGAAACCTATTTGGTGTCTATCATTTGCTTAATATGTTCAAGTTGATATCCCTTAAATAGTGGTTTTTGTCCCTAGTCGTATCTCTCCAAATATTGGCCTAGGGTATTGAATTTCAAGCACTTCCTATTATAGTGGATATTACTAATTGAAGCAGTTTTTTCAAATATGCAAATCGGCAGGGATCGATAATGTTCCTTTTTATGAGCCTTCACAAATAGTTATTAGGTTTGAGGGAGATAAATTTCAAAAAATCAATTCTACACTTGTAAATACACGTGTGATTATTAGTGGCTTTAACTCTCCCATGCAGGAATTGAACTTTGAGCGCTACATTTCTCTTAAGGAATCTAATTCTTGGGTTTACATTGGGATGTGTGTGGAGGGTAACAAGGATTTTTCCCTATGTAGGAAGGCTAAAAGGTAAAACTCTATAAAGCATTACTCTCTTTCTCTATGTAACAAGGATTTTTCCCTATGTAACAAAGATTTTTCCCTATGTAACAAGGATTTTTCCTTAAGATTAATATAAGTTTTAACTCTATAAAGCATTAATCTCTTTCTCATAACTTTATCGTGTGACTCATAAGTTTTATTTCTATCAGTCTTGAATATCCATTTGCTTTAAACATCTTTGTTGTTCAATATCGTAACCGATGTGCGTCTTTTCCAGTTATTCGATGTACTTTTTATTTTTAAAATTCCATTGAAAAGATTTATTAACCAAACCATTGTAGTTATCCCTATAAACATTTTAAATCTCAATAGGAATCACTTCTGAACCTGAAACTTCTTTCATCGTCTTAATGCATGGAAGGTTCAACAGAACTACAAAATAGAGCACAATTATTAGCTAAGAACATAACATAAGTAATACCCACGACAACTATAAAAAGATTATATGAGAATTGAAGAGATAGTTTTAAGCCAAATATATTCAAGCTAATTCAACTTATGATTAAATCAAATTCATTGCATGATAAAAATTTTGTAGAAGTGCGAAGATAAACAGGATTCAATTTCAATGGTGTGGACGAGCAAAGAAGTGCAAGGTTTGTGGTTTTCAAAGAAGATAAAGCAAGCAAAAGATAGATTTTTAGGTTGGCAACAATGCTAGCTATAGAAGTCCATCGACATCTTGGGCTACGATAGGTCTCTCTCTACCTACCTATGTCTCTCTATCTCTTTGAATGAAAAGGATGATGAACTATAAGTATTGATCCTCAGACGAGTCGGTAGCATAAAAACTACCGTATCATTAAGATCGAATAGTTTATAATTCTGGGGTCTACATTATTCTTATTGGCAATTTAAAAATTGTGAAATATGGTAACTATAATTTAATAAAATTAAAGCTTTAGTTAATATAAATTGGAATGAGGATTGCTAGAGTCTTGGATTAATTCCTTTGGATTTCGGTTGAATAAGGTTTTTTATCCAATTCATATACAAATTTTAGGTATTTAACCTAATCAACCTATTTAATAAAAATGAACTTAAATTTTGATAAATTAGATAAGATATAATGCTTAGGGATAGGCTCCTTAAACTTTTATGAATTTCATTGGCTTAAAAGAAAAATAAATGAATTATTAAATAATAAAAAATTATTATTGAGTAACTTTTTAATAATCTGCTTTTAGTTGTTGTGGGAGACAATTTAATACTCATTTAGAGTTTTAGGTTGGCATAGAGAGTTTTCAATGTTAGTAATGAGTAAATCATATGTTGGTAAGTGGTGTGCCTTTTTAAAGAAATCATGAGTTTCTTATCTTGCAATAATGAATACTATTATACTAATATACACTTGTTTTATCATGTATTTGGGTTATATGTCTTTGTATGATTACTCTGTGACAAAATGATATTTTAATTAAATTTTCTAGCTAAGATGACCAGGGCATCTATTAGTTCATATTAAATATGCATATCCTAAATTTAACATCTAACACATTGATTTAGGAACCTTAGACATAATAATGAGTTGCAATATTAATCTAAAACTCCATTGAACATACTAAAATCCTACTTTAAGCAAATCACATAAATTTTATTTCCTTGACATTTTTAGCGCCATTTATGCTCAAGTTACGACCACAAATTCATCAGATCTAAACTATGATTGAGGTCTTGACGAGTTTCATCGAGAGTGTTTCATCCAATTATCTAACAATATGGACAAAGTATAACTAAAAAGTTGACAATCTACATTACATCTACTCAATCAACATGATAACCATTGTTAATAAATTATTTGTAATATAATCTGACTTTTGAAATTAACATGATCTGAATCAACCTAAACAAATGAATTTGTTTCAATTGCTTAATCTTTTAATCCAACACACTCATTATCGAATTCATGTAATTATTTTTATGTCATCTTATATGCATATGTTCACTTGTGCTTCATTACGAATTTTAAATACAAAGCAATGCATAACTCTATTTGTTTTGCCCCGTAATTAGTATATTACGATTTAGATGTCTAGCGAGTTAGGAACTCATCTCTCTCTCTCTCTCTCTCTCTCTCTATATATATATATATATAAGGGGCTTTTCTATGGCTTGGAGTTATACAGGTGTGCTGAGATTTAGGTCGCAGAGCTTAGTCAGCTGATATAAACAGTAATAATTATTTATAAAATTGTACATACTCGGTTTTGGATGATTATATAATTTTAGCATCATGATCATTCAGTCATTATATATGCTGCCAAAATTTTCAGGAATGGATGAGTGGTGCTGAAACCATCACAACAACACACCATCAGAAATTAAACAAACTAGGAATTAATTTTGTCGCTCGCATGGATGATGAATTAATTAAAAACAATGGCAAGAACAACATCAATGGAATTAAAATCAGCTCAATTCAAAGAAGCACTCAAGTACCTTCAACAAATTCAAAATTAAATAGAAAAATCAAGCAAGCTGTTAAATAGAGCGGGAGTGCAAATATTAAAGAAAACGAACCGTGTGATCACAATCGACCATCTGCTGCTCGCTGAGACTCACAAGATTGCCAGTGGATAGAAAATTTGCCCCTTCCAGCGCCCCGACCGCACTGAACGACCAGCAAGATCCACAAGATCCCTACAAATATTTTTTTAAAAAAAAAATGGTAAATAAATTAAAAAAAAAAACCTCGAATTGAAGGTACACAGATTTTGATCAGAAGGAAACAACGTGAGGCAAACACCTGATCCTTCACAAAAAAAAATGGTAAATAAATAAAAAAAAAAAACCTCGAATTGAAGGTACGCAGATTTTGATCATAAGGAAACAACGTGAGGCAAACACCTGATCCTTCACACCCGTTACGGCACCGAGATCCCTCCAGACAAAATCCGTGGGAAGATTTGAAAATATGATTTTTCTCTGTTTTAAAAATGTGAACGAACACAAGAAATGGTCCTAAATATTTTGAGAATAAGATTGTTTGAGTTGTTAAAATGTGGAAAGGATTTTCTAGTGCTTATGTATGACTCATGAACCAAGCACCAATGTAGGTGATTGAATTATGATATGAGCGCTATTAAAATTGCTCCCCCCAATATTATTTTGGCATACTTTTTCATAAAAGGAGCCCAATGTCATAACAAGTAATTAATCATTCCTTCGTTCACTTGCTCTATTTTATCAGGGTGTGCGTGCAGAAAAAAAACACAAGTACTATTCATTTTTTTCTTAGAAGCATGAGGAAAAAGAATAGTTAAAGTAGTATTTGTCATGGCTTATCAATGCTAAATTAAATTATAATCATGTTGAAAAAATATACCTAAATCACTTTTAACTTTTACTAAACAGATCCATAGCACAAAAGTGCAATCTTTGATAAAATAAAATATTGAGCCAAAAAGAAATAATAAGCGTAGAATGTGATCCCCAAATGTACAATGAATGAGAGAAATGAATGAAGATTTTTTTGTCATTCATTGAAAAATTAATATGATTATATTTTACTAGTTCACAAACATCATAATTAAAATTTGCCAATATTGATTTCCTTGAAAAATAAAGAAAGCATGATTGTGAGATAATAAAGGATCAATAGCCAAGACATAGGTGATGAAGACAGATTTTTTTTCTTTAGTAGATTTAAGGGTTTTTGAGATATAAGACAATATAAAAGATTATATGAAACTTTCTTGATCTTTAGATAGCTCTAGGTGGCGAGTGTGAAATACGACTGACAAAAATTATGGAATTATTTTAAAAAAGTAACCATGAAAGGTTTCATTGTCACATAAAACTAATTAATCCTTTAATTGCTCCTCTTGAATTTGATTTTTCTACCCCCACTATGTATTTTGAGAAAAATCTCACAATTTTTTGTAGAAAAAGAGCAACATCTTGATCGCCTTTTCAACAATCATAAACAATGATAAGTTCCCTTCCAACAATATCGAAGAAAAGTGGAGTACATGGACACCACCAAATTTCTATCTATTTATGTGATAAACGCTTTGTTTCTTTCTCTTTCCAAGTATTCCGGATAAAATAATAAATACCGCGATTTAAACTTTTAAAAAGTGGTAACTAGGGATGTAAACGAGCCTAAAACGAGCTAGTCAGGCTCAACTCGTGTTTTCTTGTTAAAAAATATCATTGTTTGTATTCAGCTCATTCATATTTTGAATACAAAGTTTGTTAGTGATCTGCTCGTTTACTTAGCGAGAGTCGAATACTAGCGAACAAATATTTATTCTTTTTCGGCTCGTTTATATATGAAGTACAGCTCGTTAACTTAGCGAACAAATCGAACACGAGCTTCTTAACGAGCTGAACACGAGCTGTTCACGAACAACGAGTTTTTTTGACAATCCTGATAGTAACACATTTTCTTGCATTAGAGATGTTTGATATGTAAATATATAAGTATTAAATGATATGCAAGTAAATCTTCCATTAATAGTTTATTTTAACAAAGTAATGTAATATCACTTTTTTAAATTTTAAAAATTTGAATCATTAGGTTTATTTTAATAAATTTAGAATTCTTCTTTCTTTGAATAAAATTTCAAAATATAGTTTAAGAGAGAAGTTGCACATCGATTTTATTTTACGGCAAATTAAATTAAAAAAAGTGAAATATTATTGTTGAATCCAAATTTATTCAGTGAGACATGTCCAGAGAAATGAAGAGATAGGAATCTTGAGAGAGTGATAAAGAGAAAGAGAGGGAGAGAGAGGGAGAGAGAGGGAGAGAGTGCACAACGACTTGCACTTGAGAGAGAGTGTCAGAGAAAAACTAGGGTATTCACGAGCTTTAGAGAAATGAAGAGATAGGAATCTTGAGAGAGTGATAAAGAGAAAGAGAAAGAGAGGGAGAGAAAGGGAGAGAATGCACAACGACTTGCACTTCAGAGGAAAACTAGGGCATTCACGAGCTTTACAACTTTTTTTATATAATGAATATAGAGGGTATAAGAGGAAGGAGAGTTAGACTCCCAATAGAAAAAATGTCTCAAGAGAAGAGCCTAAAAGGCTTTAATATATGATTTTTGCCGCACCCTTTGTATCTGGATCTTCTGGCTTGGCAGGTCCATGGGTCGAGCAACTAAGCTGATTTCAGTCGGCTTTCGTCCGGGCACTGGTCGGGTTCGTTCTGAAAAGTAGGTTAGTTCTTGAGTGGAATGACTGGTTGACTTTCAGGCGGTCAGTCGAGTTGTCTGATTATTAATCATTAGTGATATTTGGGAGAGCTGTAGAGAGGGCTTCCCATTGATATTTGTAAGATTGTTGGAAGTGGTAAACTTTTGTCTAGTCTTTTTCTTCAGAGTGATATACTTGGATGCTCGTCTCCTGTTAGCATGGGTGGTCTTTTGGTTGTTTGACTGACCTTCGGTTAGTTAGTAGCCCTTCAACTTGGAGCATCAAACAATCAAGCAGAAGTCAGCCAAGTACTCACGATTTGAGTACATACGAAAAGGTCGATCAAGGATGGCAGAGAACTTCCTCCTTTCACTAATTTAGTCGGTTATAAGTGGACTTTTCCAAGACCCCAACTTTAGTGGGGATATGACGAATAAGTCAACCATATATGTTTATAGGTCTAAGAAATGGTATAAGCTTAAGTGTGTCATTAAATAACGACAAGTATTATAAGTAGGGGATATTAAATTGTAAATCAGATCCCCAAATTTTCCATTAATATAGCCAAGGAATAACCCCTTTGCCTCCCATCATCCTGCTACTCCTTTCATCAATTTAGCTGCTCGTCTCTCTCTCTCTCTCTCTCTCTTCTTGTTGTCTCTCCTTATTGATGCTCTAATCCTTTGGTGTGATACTCCTATAATTTTATAGATCTTTCTTTCCATGTCTCAAATAAGGTTCTAAGTTGCGCTTCTAAGACTCAACCTCCCATACATAGCACAATTCTTATGTATTTACATATCAAACGTCTAAACTTTTATATTTTACAAGCATAATATTCAAATCTTTAATATTACATTAAAAATATCACTATTTCTAACTTTATTTACAATAAAAATTCATCCTTTCATGCATAGGTTAGGATGCACAAAAATGTTGTAAATATAAATATCAAATTGTAACTATTTGATATGTAAATACATTAGAATTATGTGGCATTTATATAAATTTATCAATCTTTTCAGTTCCCTTCTCCAACTTTAGATATTCCTTTTACCTAAACTAACAAAGATTATTTCATATGCAATTCTGATTCCTAATAACATAAACATAATAACATATATGGACTTGTTAATCAAATGCATCATTATTATGAAAATAAATGCATTATTAAAAACAACAAATCATCTTAGTCATAAAAGAAAAACTAAATACATAATGAACAGATTATTTGCTAAATAGATTATAAAACAGCGATATTAACAATGAAAAGCTGTGAAATCACATCAATTATCACATAATTCTGAATCCTAAAACTTCTGGCATTGATTTAACTCACAGCAAAATAAATAAATTAAACAAGTCAACGCTCAAACCCATCGAAGAACACATTAGATAGAAGTCAACGTGATTAGGTGCCGGGCTGTCGACCTCTCAACTTCCAATAAGGAAAAAAATTTTATGTTAATTTTAATTCATTTTTTTACGTGGCCGTCAAAAAAGCTCGTTGTTCGTGAATATTTCATGTTCGGTTCGTCAATGAGTTCATGTTTGATTCGTTCGATAAGTAAACGAGACGAACGTGAATAATTTTTTTTTCGTTCGGTTAGTTAAACGAACCAAACACTAACAGTGATGCTTTCGTACTTGTTCGAATCATTATTAGTCGAAATATTAAATAATTTAAAATAGTTATATATAAAAAATTTATGATATTTTAAAAAATTAAATTTTATAAATTATAATATATAATAAATTGTAAAGTGTAGCCCAAATGATGACAAATTGTTAAATACAATCGACATGGATAAGTCTCTTTGTGAATTACGAGAGTATACGCTCCAACATACGACAAAGTAACAATACAGTAGGGCTCTCGAAAAAGGTCGTCGTTCGCGAACAGTTTGTGTTCGGCTCGTTCGTTAAGAAACGAACACGAAACGAACACAAGCTTATTTCAAACAAACTAAATGAGCTTATTTCAAACAAACTAGATTTTAAACGAACCAAACACGAACACAAGCTCTGTTCGTTCGTGTTTGGTTCGTTTACACCCCTAGATGCAATATTTTTTACCATATAATATTTAATTTTACACATGTAATTTAATTCATGCATAAAAATATATATTTCATTTTTAAAATTTTAAATAATAATATTTGTATATGATATGAAAAAAGTGATGATATAAATTTAAATAATAGAGTTTAGGCGTTGGATAATACATAGGAATTGGGTGGTACGTATGTAAATGCCCAATTAATATAACTATCTTGTAAATTTTCAATTCAATGTGAATTGGAATCTCTTGAATATTAAATTTGAGTTTTGTCGCACCTTATTCTTAAAAATCACTATCAATAATTCTTAAAAATATCTTCAATAAGATAAAATTTTATATTGCACATAGGGGTGTAAACGAAGCTGGCTCGTGTTCGGCTCGTTTATATTTCGAGCACAAAAAATGTGTTCGTGTTCGGCTAGTTTGCTTAGCAAACCGAACGCAAGTCGTTCACGAGCAGAGAGTCATTTTGACAACCCTAATCACATAGCCATAAGATGTTAAGGATCAGGTCAAGATTTAAAACATCATTTTAATCTAATTTAATAATTTTTATTCTATTTTTTTAATTAATTATATATATATATATTTATATATATATATATATAATTAATTAAGAAAGTGGAATAAAAAATATTAAAAAAAATTTTATAGTAATATTTTTGATGTGATATGCACGTAAATACCAAGGTTAATGTTAGATATGTAAATATATAAGAATTATGTGGCATGCGTGTAAATGCATCTTATAAAAAAATATTCGCGATAAATATACTACACTACACGTCATTCATGATTCTTATAATGAAAATAGAAGGAGAGAAAAATATTGAAATGAGGATTTAAGTGTTGTCCTTTTGTAACGATGTGGGGGATGATGATATCCAAACATCAAGATTTAAGTGTTGTCCTTTTCTAACGATGTGGGGGATGATGATATCCAAACATCAAGATAACCTTAAAAAAAAAATTTTCTTCCTGGCTTGCTTTAATCATACAAATATGAACGGAATAATAACGAGATGATGGATGCTTTAGAAATAAAGCCAAAATAGAACTATAATAATTGGGTAAAAGGTCATATTGTAAATGAACAAATGCACTTGCAACCAATGTACAATTTGAACTTTACTCGATTTAGGCTCGATCATGTTTGTTTAAATTAGTAAATAAATAAACTTCAGTATTTTTATAAAGTCAAAAGTTGAAGGTGGTAAAAGGTCATATTGTAAATGAACCAATGCACTCACTCAATATACAAGTTGAACTTTACTCAATTTAGGCTCGATCATATTTGTTTAAATTAGTAAATAAACAAACTTCAGTATTTTTATAAAGTCAAAAGTTGAAGGAACACATGAATATAGTCAAATTTTTACATTTATGTTCAGGAACAAACTCCTTTATCATTCAACAAATAACTTATTACTTATTTGACATTAATAATATAGTTCGTATCATATATAATATATTATTTAAATAAAATTTAATTATCTAAATTTTACTTAATATATATTTAATATTAATATATTATTATATCAATTAATGAATAGTTCTATATTATGAGTTATTTGAAAGTACATTGCTCTTATTTACATCTTTCTTCTCAATCATAGAATGTATTCTTTTAAGAAAATATCTATTATAAATACTAGATGAAATCATGTGGATTAGTTCATTTTCTTATCAATTTTATTAAAATATTTATTTATTTAGATTTATGGAATTATTTATTAAAATTTTTATATGAAAAATCTAAATATTTGTTTAAGTTTTTAACTCATTTTAAATGCTAGTCCACTTATCATAGACAAATCAAGTTCAATATGGAAGAGTCTAAACAAGCACAGCAAATTAGCAAATATGCAACCTGTTGTTTGACCATTGTCGTGATGTCAGTTAAAGAGGAAGAAATATTGCCAAAAAAGCCATTTGATTTCTTACTTTCCAGATAAGGTATGGTACAACATAGGTGATATAAAAAAATAACCTTGTTGAAGCATTACAGCAATACTTCGAACCCTCATTAAAGGTAGGTTTGTAACAGATTATGTTGCATTAAAGAGAAATTCCCCTCGGATATAAAGAGAAATTTTCACCAATCTAATTGAGACAAGTTTCTAAGAAACAATTGTTTTGACTTTCGCAGTAGAGAAAGAGTTCATCCCATCCCAGCAAACTCAATCTAGCTCTATAGATAGCTTCATAACAATTCATATTAGTGGAAGCCAAGGTAACTGAGATATTCCAATACCCATTGTGAACATTAGAGCTAAGCTTTTCATGAGGCAGCGGATTTAAGATAAGAGTCGCAAGAATCTCCTAACATGTACTCTCAAATGCATAGCATATTGATTGGAAACAAAGTGAAGAATTCCAAGATACTGGTTTCGAGCGCTCACCCTGCCTATAAAAAATTAAATCTAAATAAATAAATAAATCTCCCAACAAGTCCTACAAAGAGTTTCCCTCAACCAAGATCCAAGCATGTGCTGCAACAGTCGAAAAACCTAAGCTCTGAATTAAAAAAAATGCTTTTTTTGTTTGAATCGTAGTGTTCTAAAGCTCAAATAAGAATTCTTTGAAGTCTAGAATAGGTTGATTAAAGCTGAAAAAAAAGTTGATTAAAAAAAGCAATTCTTTGGGATCGAGATCAAACAGATTAACATCTGGGTCAAATTTTCTAATTTTGTAATAAATCAAATAAATTACATCATATATAAATTAATAAGCTTTTTTAATATTACTGCATGGCATTAGAGATGTGTTTTAAGCATAGATAAACTTATACAAAATGAATGATTAAAAATATGAAAGATCTCATACCAAATATCAAAGTAATAACATAGCAGTAACAAGAGATGTGTTTTATTATAATATTTCCCATAGTAATATACTGAATTAGAACTATATTACACGACGATTTATTATGTGGATAGGTAAATATGAAACAGTTATCTAGCAATGTGATAGAGATGCATATGAGGAAAGCAGAACCAAGCATTACTATGATTGAATAAATCAAGTCAATACCAACAAGCCAGCACAAAAGTTACATTATTTACACGTTTGAATAACTGGAAGACGCTGGCCAGAGGAAGATTATTCTTAAGATAGAAATTGTGACTTGCAAAACCTTCTTCATCCACCACAGATTTGTTAAGTTAAGCATAATCGTTGCCATATAATATCCTAATTTTTTTCCTTGGAGTTCTAATGGAGTACAAGAGAAATATCAATTACAATACCCTAAACAAGGAAGCACCAGAAATCACAATTTATGAAAAACCTAATTAACATTTTGCCACAAACAGCAACAAAAATACGCACAATTCTGCGAAAGAAAACACAATTCAAGCAGAAATCTAAGCTACCACAATTTGAAACTGACAAATAATAAGTAATACAGTTTCCAAATGGCCACGAATATTGTCAAAAAACGAAATTAAAAAGCCAAGTTCAAAAGTTTGAAGGAAAAATTAAAGGCCGAGTCTTGGCTATCAACCTCAACAAAATCGTTTAGGAAAAGCAAACTAGCTACGACGCCGAGATTTAGAAGAGAAAAAAAAAAGGGTACTCAGAGAGAAACTACAGCAAATCTCCCACCTCTCCTCCAAGAGAAATCAACAAAACACAGCTCAATTAGAAGAGATCAAACCGAGGGACTTATTGAACCAGGCCTTCCATCCACCCGTGCCTTTCTTCCCGATCTCCCCCTCAGGAGTCGAAGAACTGTCACTGGCCAGCATCTGTTTCTTGCACAGCAAGAAATTCCTACTCCCGAAGGAGCCGATCGGTTCCCACGGGCTCAGAGCTACAACACAATACCAGACAATCAAAAATACTAAAACCGAAGATCGCATCAACGAAATCTAAAATATAAACGGAAACCCAGAGATCTTACCACGGGTTCCATCGTAGGCGTGGTAAAGTACGAAGCAATCAATTTCTGATCCGAGAACGGGTCGGCGTCCCTCACGCGCATACGTCTTGAGCGCGGTGCCGATAACGGAAGAGACGAGCTCCTCCTCCTTCACCACAAACCGGATCGGGCCAGCGCTACCGATAACATTTACCGTAATAAGGATCCGATTGCTATCCCCCTTCTTTCCATTATTCTTCTTCCTCTGCTTCTTATCCTTCTCGACTACGTTCCGGGGCAGAGCCATCGTGCTCTGCAAACTGCTACCGCTAGAACGAGAAAATCAGCAGAAATTCAAAGGGATTGAGAAGGATAACTTAGGGGTCAAGGCCGAGGCAGCGATAGTGCCAGCCCTGCATGCAGTAGGAGAAGGGGGAGGCAGAGGAGCACGAGGCAGCCAAGAAGGAAGCGGTGATCGCTACGCCAGCAAAGAATTCCCTCTTGTTGGATGGAGGGAAGGGGTATGGCTTCAGAGAATCGCCCACCATCCAAAAAGATTGCCGAGAGATCGAAGGCGAGAAGGAGCGGAGGAGGGGGGACTCCAGAAGCAGGCGCAGCGCTTTTAGGGTAGCGTGAGCTCGCCGACCCGACCTCTTTAGAGGCCCTGCACGGAATACGGAGAATAAATCGGCGTCGCCCGATCCGAATTTCGTGGGGAATCGAACCGGACCGGTTTGTACGGAAACGGAAGAAGGATCCAAATTCGTAACGTGCTGGCTGTTGAAAGCGTGGCATTCAGTAATTTTAAGGAATTTGATTATTTCAGGAAACAGTTTTGATGTTTTTTTTTTAAATTTTTATTATTATTATAAAATGTTATTTAAGAATAGTTTTTTGAAAAATTTAGCTTAATGAAATAAGAAGAAAAAATATATTACGTGGAATATAAGAGATTATTTATTTAACCTCAACATAATATGATTAGGCATCTCACCTCAAAGATATTAAAAATTCGATAAATAGTTAATTGCGTTGGGAGCAATATTGGTTTGCTTTCCTAACTCAAATAGAATTTATGCAAAGTGACTCTTAAAGAGATAGGTATAGCCCACCACATTAATATTTTTTTGTGGTATTCTCATCTCTATATATATACGGGTGGCCCACCACATTAATATTTTTTTTTTTTTTTGTGGTATTCTCATCTCTATATATATACGGCCTCTGGCGTAAGTCCTTCAGGTCGGGGGTTTGAATACTGTGATGCGGGCTCTTCGGATCAGGAGCAAGCACACTAGAGTTTTCAACCCTTTTAGGGGAATCAATATTTGGTACCCATTGGACCAAATATCAATTTCACCTTTTTAATATATATGTGTAAGTCTCTCAAGTCGGGGGTTTGAATACTGTGATGCGGGCTCTTCGAATCATGAGCAAGCACACTAGAGTTTTTAACCCTTTAGGAGAATCAATATTTGGTGTCCATTGGGCCAAATATCAATTTCACCTTTTTAAAAAAATATATAGATATATATATATATATATAACACGTTGTATTGAAGGCTCCGCAATGTAATATGGGAAAGACGGAGTGTAAATTAGACTTACACATGAATCCAAAAAATACGCTTGAATATAATAAATAAATTTAATTAAAAAAATTCAATGGAATGGCATCAGTGTCCTTAAGCAAACTTTTTGTACAAGTATCCATGGCTTAAAATTACCACCTAAACAATCATATATCTCCTAAATACTATAATTTTATACAGGAAGATTTATATACATACCACTCAATTCATATTTATTTACATATCTAACATCTAAACTTCAATATCTAAACTTTTATTTACATATCTAACATCTAAACTTCAATTTTTACATAGATATGCAAGTTTACATATCCATAAAAAGGAAAATAGTGGTATATTTTATGTGATATTACATATTTTAGTGTTATAAATGTAAACAGAGAAGTTTATGTGTGTGAGAGATGTAACTACATAAGAATTGCGGGGTATGTATGTAAATACCCTTAAAATTTCGCTTCTGCCATGATGAATATACACATCATCCGTTGAATTTCTATTAATTCAACTCTTATTGGATGTTCACTTGCTGCTTCAAGTTATAGCCTGGAATTGTGAGAGTTAACGATGAACCATTGTGCTGAAATATTTATTCTGAGAGTGGGACAGAGGTATATAAAAATTTAGTTGTTTATTTATTGGAAGATTTTCATACATACCACTCAATTCCTAAGTATATACACATCTAATGCATATACTTCTATTTTTACATACATACCACCTTACTTGTGCCTGAAAAAGGAGAAATATTTGCTTACGTCTTACGTACGCTTACAGGGAGAGTATTGAGGGGTTATATCCACGTTATACCCTATGTAACCTTCTTGTAACCTACCTGCAACTTAAAAATATATGAAAACAGAAGCGTGAAACTTGCTAGTTACAGGTAAGTTACAGGTAGGTCACAGGGAAGTTACAAGGGATATAACGCAGATATAACCCCCCAATACCTTCTCTGTAACCCACCAGCATACGCAGCTCTGCGTACGTAAGATGTACACAAATATTTCTCCCTTTTCAAGCACAAGTAAGGTGGTATGTATGTAAAAATAGAAGTATAGGCATTAGATGTGTATATACTTAGGAATTGAGTGGTATGTATGAAAATCTTCCAATAAATAAAATTACAAATGATTGAGTTCATACCTCACTCAAAAATCTAATCAGGAAAAAACCTCCAATTTTTATATATTTACATATCTAACACAAACATTCCTATCTCCCACTAGCTTTTAAAAAATGAATACACCTTTTCCATGCATATGCCTATAACACCGGAGTTTTGTAAATGTAAATATCAAACTATAGGGGTTAGATACATAAATACATAAGAATTGTGTGGTATGGATGTAAATTTCCTAAAATGAAATCAACAAAAACAGAAGATACAGCACCTACGAAACAGATAGACAGCAGTAGAAATCCAGTTAAATTTCATCGGTCTAATTACAATTCTGATGTATCTGACAAAAACATCTGGGCACAGTGTCAATATTTACTCCCAGATGAAAAATACAATGCATCGTTAAAGTTACTAATGATAGATACAACGCGCCTCACAAGATCCTCTAGAAATCTAAGTACAAGAACGGTCTCCCTTGGCTGCATCATCTTATCCCAAGCCCATTACAAGTCAATATCAAACCCTTGTGTTGGTTAAGGTAATCCTACAAATTAAATTAATGTCCCGAGCACATCAATTATAAGTATAGTAGCTCAAATTTTCATATTTACATGCAAATTTGAACTAATTAAACATGATTTTTTCTTTCTTTTCAATCACATGCATAGCACTCGAAACATTGCTATATAAAAACTAGCACTCTCTTACATTCATTTTTGCAAATTCTCGCTCGAATATTGAAATTCACAGTATAACGCAAACTAGTTTTTTTTCACTTCTATCAAATTCTCAATGGCATGAGTAAATGTATGGGTTCAGTAATTCAAAAAAATAGCTTAAGTGCTAGTTTTATAAATAAATAAGTTTTGGGTGCTGCTATGCATATAATTATCCCAAAAATGTAACATGATAAGTGAAACGAGAGTTTGCTTAAACAAGAATGAGAGAGAGAGAGAGAGAGAGAGAGAGAGAGATGAAAGGCAAACTTACAATGAAATTGTAATCTTGAATTTGAGGAAGTATTTCCCTGTCATATGCTCTTCTTTTGGCAGGATCACTTAAAACTATGAACAGGAAAGCACCAGGCCAGAGATTTAGAAACGAGTAGAAATCTAATGAAGCGCACAAACACAGTTGATTTTTTAAATGGTCCTAATAAGAGAACAAGATTAAAATAAAGGGAAATTTACATACGCAGCACAAAAATTCTTACATATTTACATATTTCACATCTAAACTTCCCATGCTTACATACATGGCGCTTTGGTGTTTTAAACATAAGCATGAAAACGGCTATTTCACATTTAAAAAAGAGATAATAGTGTTATTTTTAATCTGATATTAAAGATTTGAGTGTTATATGTGTAAATATGAAAGTTAAGACGTGAGATATGTAAATACATAAGAATTGTGTGCTATGTATGTAAATTTCCCTGTGAAAAATGGTTATATGGACGAAAGAAATGGATTTCGGTGTGAGACCTCAATTAACTTAATAATGCTAGTTAAACATTTAAGAAATATTAATCTAAGGAAATAAATTAATATTCACCAATTTAACTGTAATAAAATGCATATGACAACAAAATATCAAAGTTTAATCATCTCAATTTGATGCATTCTTAAGAGAAAATGCTTACATATGCATCACTGAAGCTTATCAAATGAAGCCTTAATATTGAAGGCCATTGTGCCAAAAACCATAGGGAAAAAGATGGAGCTTCCAATTAATAAAAAGTGCCAAATGGCAAATTAAGATAAATTACAAGATTATGAATTTGATACATATATTGAAGTTTAATAGAAAAAAAATAAAAATGTGTTTTCTCTCTTCCATTCTTCCTGTCTAATTCCTTCTTAATAGAGGCAAACACATCCCTTCTTAATAAATTTCTGTTAGGAGGATTGAACTAATTCCCAAGAATTGCAGAGAACATGTATCCGAGAAAACCAAAGAAAACAATTGAGCAGATGCGCACAAACAAAAAACTCTGAAAAAAAAATACAAAGATTTAACGTGGAAAAACCAAAGAATGGAAAAAAAACCACGGAGCCATACCACAACAAGAAATTCACTATGAAATAAGAATAAATCTACATATTACACCACACTAAAATCCTCTCTGCAATCCAGGAGCTCACAAACACTCTTTTTTCTTGATCCCACTAGAGAAATGCACCAGAAATCCACTCACAACTCGCATACACCGTTTCATGCTACTCACTTGCGCATTGTCAAGAGAGAACTCCAAATTCTGCATGGAGGACTTAAATGTCAACTGCTCGAAGTGTTTCAGGAGTTGGATCGCCTGTCCCGAGAATCGAGTTTCCCAACGCTCTATTTCCGGAATGCTGAAAACGTGCTCCTAGACGCCATTGCAACCTTCTTGGGCTCTGCCTTTCCACGCCGGGTCCTAGAGCATTTGGCTAGGCACCTTTCGGGCGCTAGTTCCTTCTGGTCACTTCTCCTAGCCCTGATTAAACTCCATACATAACAATTTCCACAACTTTCTCCTATCTGATTTACATCCCCGACCCCTAAACAAGCCTCTAAATATTGTTCCCAATCTCATCAATTTCCACACAAAATCCCAACCTAGTTGGATAAGCATAATCCACTAACACAAGCAAAACAACTAAATCTGACCCAACCAACATTATCCCATGTGTAGAGCCACGAGGTTTAAAACCAAAATAAAAAAAAAGATGCTTAAATCATCTCTCTCTTCAGAATTTACCAACACCTAGATCAGGAAAAAGATTATCTACAATTAATATAATATATTTCACCACTTCTGCAATAGGGAACCCTTTTCAAAGTTGATTACTACTATATAACATATTGTGTTCTTGCTCATTCATTCCTTTTAATTATCACTCTGTAAGACAGTGATCTGTTGGCTTCTTCCAACGTGGGATAGATCTAATTTTTCAAAATGGATATGCCAAACAGATAGAATTTGCAATAGAACAAAAAGTCGTCTGTTTCTGCTTTTAATTCAAACCCACTGGAATAAAATTCTTTGCACCTTGGGAGATTGATAGCATACCATCGCAAATTGTATATTACAATTCATTTCATATCAATTTTAGTTTTTAGATGTTTTATATTGCATCGTCTATTATACGGCTTAGCGTTGATGTTGTATATTCTCTGTTCAAGCCTTCCTCTATTCTATTCCCCAACCTCTTCAGGGCTTTTTCGCAAGCATTATTCTGCAACCAAAGTTTCAAATGCGCTCTTTTACTCCTAAAAATTCTTTTGGTAGGATATGAAACTACTCAAATCAAGTTAAATAACTCTAAAAAAATAAAAAAGAAGATGAAAGGTTTAAAACACAACTTCGAATAACACCGATAATACTATTACTAATCATAAATGAGATGACATTCCTATAGATAGTTGTTAAAATGTATTATCAACTATTGAAAAGTATCTGAGGATTGGTGGAATCGGCAATCTTAGGATTGCTAAATAGCAAAAGAAAGGACTTGCAGATTCATCTACTAAAAAGAAGAAAAACATGTGCCATAAATTCATGTAGTTAAAATGAAAATGAAAACACAGCAGATTGCTCTCTTTTTCTCACGAGCAAAGATAGAAAATTTTGTACAATAAAATTAATTTTTAAATTCTTTATAACTAGTAATTTTCACTTATTTTTTAGGTATTTTTGTATATAAATACTAGTTGGGGATTAACAATGCGAGTTTTCTAGCTATTTTCTCTTTTCCATATGGCATCCAAGCAAGGTTAAGGTCTTCTTTCCAACCGTTTATTTTTCCTCACTTTAATCCTTATTCTCCTCATCATGTCTAGGTCTTTCAAATTTCTCTTGCAAAGAGTCAAGCATCATTAATAATAATAATTAGGTTAATACCATCAAAAGTGAATTTTAGGTGATACAAATTTCATATAATTTAAATAGAAGAAACAGCCCAAAGTGGTCTTAGATTATGAAAATCTTTCTAAAAGAAGAGAGAAATCTACCATCTTGTTGATCCTTCTTTGGAACTAGAAGATCCAAAATTTACAATTTGGGATGAAGCATATTCAATGATTATGTCATGATGAACTTAATGTTTTCCAAACAACCACTAAAGATGCCTGTAAAGCTGCCAAGCAGGCTTACTAAAAACTTAACAGTCACTCTCATCAATTAGATCAAGACAATGCTCTCAACCAAGCAATTAAATCTCTGTTATTAAATATTTAACTGCAATGAAAATTCATTTATTAGAATTAGATGGCAACAAAAATCTCAACATAAAGTGTAGTGATAAGTTATGGTTCTCGAATAATATGAATTAAAAAAAAAAAATTTATTGCAGGACTCCATATACAATTTAACTAAGTTCATATTCAAATCATGAGCAAAGAAAATCTAGCATCCCTAAATGAGATCTTTTCACCCATACAAACAAATAAGGTAGAAGGATGACAATGGTTGACACACCCAACATTGAAATATCAGCCATAACAATCATGGAAACTCATAGTAAGAGACTTATTACCGCAAATCTCTCCACAAAATTGAACAAAAAAACTCTTTTCTAAATCAACATGTAGTTTAATTACTGCAAGAAAAAAAGACATGTCAGATAAATATTAAAAATTCAAAAAAAGAACTTGGACTAGGGTGCTAATAAAGAATGCCAATCAAAAGGTTAAGCCCATCTCGTTGAACCAGGACTTAACACATAAGAAATTGGCAAGCTAAGAAAGTTTCTCAATTACCTAAAGAAAATCTTCAAGGCATGGGCATGCTTCTTAACTAAAAATTACAAATTCTAACCTTTTTACTTTTAATGCCTCAAGTAGCTCTACTAAAAATTGGATAATAGATTTAGAAGTCACCAATCATGTGACAAGTCAATCCAATGCTTTTTAAACCTACAAACATTTCCCAACAAAAAAAAAAAAAAAAGCAGTCGGCGACTCTTAAACTATTCTTATAGGTCAAGTGCTTATCCATATTTCTTCAGCATTTTGTCCAACAATGTGTTGTGTGTCCTTAACCTTGCACTAAATCTTCTTTCTATTTATAAACTCAATAAAAACCACAACTGCAATGTAGCATTCTTTTACCAATCATTGAAAATTTCATGACCTCAAAATATAGAAGACGATTGAGCAACCTAGGTTAAAAAGGATAGGCTATACCTAATTGAAGATAATGATTTATTCTGCTCCTTCCATTCTACTCCAAATAAAGACACCATCTAAGGGAATCAGTAAGAACTAGGGCAATCATCTTATAAAATTTTACAATGTACATTTCCTTCCCCTTTTATAGATATGAACTTTGAAATTTTACATTGCGAGGCTTACAAAATTGCTAAATATCATAGGGTTTTCTTTCATGAAATTATATCTAACTTCTCCGCTCCTTTTATGATAACTTATTTCCATACTAATATTTTTGAAGTTAAAAATTCAGTAAAATTCATTGATAATAACACATAGATGACATGATTTTATCTTATAAAATAAAAACTTAATATCAATCACATTCTCCCCGTCTTTATTTCTATTGTAAAAATTAATTTTGTTGCTAATATTAAAAGAAATAAGATTGATAATGCTCAAGAAATTTGAACCAAGTTATATCTTCTTTCCACAATAAAAAATATATATATATTATTTACTAATCCTACTGTCCTAATGCCACAAAAAAATGAAGACCTTTAACTCTTGGAAATTACCGACTTTTCTATTCCAAAATTAAGTTCTTAAAAGATATCGAGGAAAAAACTATCCTATTCTCTATAGATCTCATTAACATAACGCTCTAAAAAATGATTGGATTTTAAAAAACCCCTAAACTATCTTGCCAAACTATTTCCCATTAATAACATTTTTTGAAACTTCCTCTTGATTTTCATATGTCATGTTCAAAACAACACCAAGCTAAACTTTAATCCCAACACACTTAAGTGTATTTTTTCAGAATATTCACCTACCAAAAAATGATAAAAATATTATCATCCAGCAAAAAAAAAAAGAAAAAAAAGAAAACCTCACTTTCAAAGATGTCTTTTTTTATTAAAGGATGAAAAATTT